CCCCCCCCCCCCCCCCCCCCCCCCCCCCCCAAAAAAAAAAAAAAAAAGAAATCTCCCTCCCTACCCCTCCTCCCAATCTGCGATAAACTAAGTGATAGAAGCAGCCCGTCAGACTGTCGGCTATAAAGCACAACAAATCATAAAGTGCAGGCGGCGGAAAGCGGAGGCAGGAGGACGGGAAGAAGAACCGTAAGCTCGCGTCTCCTCCTCCTCCTTTTTGCCTCTGCTCCTTCTTTATCATTATCGGGTCAACGTTTTGTTTGTTTCGCACCCTCCTGCTCTCCCCTCTCCTCTCCTCTCCTCTCCCTTCCTTCTTCTCCTTCCTCTCCTTTGCAGCCCTTTTCCCAATGAGTTCCTATTTCGTAAACTCGTCCTTCCCGTTATTACCGGGGACGGGCGGCGGCGGGCAGGCGGCCACGGCCGAGCCTTTCCTGGGTCAGATCTCTCTGTACTCGTCGGGATACGCTGACCACCCGCTCAGACACTACTCAGGTGCGGCGGCGGTCAGCGCGGCGGCGGCGGTGGCGTACCAGGACAAGCCCTACGCCGTGCCCTCCTACTACCAGCAGGCAGCCGGCGGCGCGCACGGCGCGCACCGCGCCGGCCCGGGGGGCTCCGCCGGGGCCGGGGCCTGCGACTACGCCACGGCGGCCGCGGCCGTCGCCGTGGCGGCCACGAACTTCTACCGGGACAAGGAGCACGCGTGCGGCCTGGACGAGCACCAGCTCGCGCTCAGCCAGGACGCCATGCACCGCAAGCTGGAGTGCGCGGGGCTGGGGGGGAAGGGGCTGTTCGGGGAAGGCATGGATGACAAGCAGGCGCCGTCGGCCCCGATCTACCCGTGGATGCAGAGGATGAACTCGTGCAACGGTGAGTGTGCGCGTCTCCCCCCCCGCACCGCCCCGCGGACTCTGTCGCCCCCACAAGAAATCTGACGTTTAACTTCCTATGTCATCGTCTGGGATAATTCGTCTTGTTTCCTCGTCTCTCAGTGGTGGTTTTATTGTGCCGTTTGTTGACTTTTCAGTCAGTCATGGTATTTTATAGTCTGTCATAAACCGGCTTTGTTTGGCCGAGAGCTCGCGGAACATTTGTGGTGCTTTGAGACGGCCCCACCAGGCAGGGCGACACTTCTGGAGCAATCTCAAGCTCTGCTCACTGTAAACACGGAAAGAGAGGGAAGCAAAAGCAGAACCTCTACATGTTATCTTTACACTGTCTTATCTCTTTTAAACTCGCGTCCTAATGAGGATCAAACAGCCTCAAGATAAAACGGCCAATAAAAAAAATTCTGTCCTGATTAAATAGTTATAAAAACATTATTTGGTCATTGTGAGTGTGTTCACAGGCTGTTATAAAACGGCCCATAGCTACTTTTCCCCTGGTTTCTATTGGGATGTCTCTGAATCATTCCTCTGATGGCTGGTGCCTTTCTCTAAACTATTATGATCAGGCTCGTTTTATAGGTCAGACTAAAGACAAAGAGAGAAGTTATTCTGCTTTTGTTCTGTTGCACCGAGCTAGTGCAAGACAGCAAACACTCTCATGAGAGATAAAGCAAATAATGCTGCATAGTGCAGAGCTATTGTCCAGCAAAGCCGAGAATAACCCTGTGAGCCGGAGGGATTTGGAGGGCAGCGCTTCAAACCAGCTCTAAATATTTAGAATAGATAGAATTTTTTATTTTTTTTAATTCTGGTTTAATATAAATTCCTTGCAATTTAGCCTAAATACACAATATTTGTATTATTATAATAATCATTATTATTATCATCCTTATCATTATTATTATGGTTGTTGTTATTATTATAGTGTTAAAAAGACCAATGCTGCAAGAACACATAAAATAATTGACTGTATGCAGGGCTGCTATTTGGGGAAATCAAATGTAAATGAAACCAGAACTACATTTATTAACCCTTTCTGCCCCCCCATCCGTTTTTACGCAACCCGGTGCAGCTTCTTCAGAACCACCGGGCTTTCAGCAGCAGAGCCCGGTATTTGTGACTGCTTTATTTCCGTGCACGTTTGTGGCTGGCTGCGCGCTTTGTTGAAACTGCTCTCCTCCTCCTCTCACCTCTCAGGGACCTTTGGCAGCCCGGGCAGACGCGGACGGCAGACATACACCAGATATCAAACGCTTGAACTAGAAAAGGAGTTTCACTTCAACCGGTACCTCACGAGGCGGCGGCGCATCGAAATCGCGCACGCGCTCTGCCTCACCGAGCGACAGATCAAGATCTGGTTCCAGAACCGGCGGATGAAGTGGAAGAAAGAGAACAAGCTCATTAACACTTCCTCTTCCTCCTCCTCTTCCTCCTCCACGGTTAACGGTACGGATGAGGAGGAGAGGCGGACGGAGTAAAACCGGGACGGGACGCCAGTCAGAGGAAGAGGAGAAGAAGAAGAAAAAGGCATGCCGGGTAATCCTCCCCATCTCCCTCTAGATTTGTTGCCTGGTGTGGACATTCTGTGGACATTCTTCGGGGTGAAAAACGCAGAGCCCCGTGGCATGAAGGCTGCTTTCCCCCCATGCCCCCCCCCCCCCCCCCCCCCCCCCCCCCCCCCCCCTGGAGTCTAACATGGAGGCTTCGGACAGTTTGCTCTGGGAGGGTTCCAGCTTCCTCCTCCGTCCGGTCAGGAAGGTATTGAATGTTCTGCCCATATTTCCGGCAGACCCGGAGCAGGGCTGCTTCCGTTCGGTCCGCACGTGAGCCGGTCCTTTTCCTTTTCCGGGGCTGCAGCCGCGTGAGCGCATCCGTCTGTAATATTAAAAAACAGAAGGGCGCGGAGTGCAGGTGAGGCGGCGGGACGGTGCGCGTCCTGCTGGAGGCTGCGCACGGACGCGCGTTTGGCGCCTCTGTTTGTGTAGAACCACAAAAGCCCGAGTCTCTAAATCCAGCCTGTGGGGACTTTGTGGGGAATGGCCAGACTCGTACATATGATGTATTTTCAGTATGCTTTGTTCGTATTTACAGGACCGCAATGAACTCACGGCACCCATTTGTGATTATTGAGGTCTTTTCCTTCTGTGTAGTATCGCAATTTCAAGAAGAAAAACCCCCAGTATGAATTACCATAGCTAGAGGATTAATTAGAAGTAGGCTAATGAACCCCTAAAAATGGGTTGAACATAGTTTCATCATTCCAGAAAAACCGCCCAACTTCATATATATAGTTTATTTTTATATCCTAATCTTTTCCTTTTTGTTAAATGTACATGCGGTTTGGAGGCACTTGTTTTAAAGTTTGTTACTTGATTATTGTTCTGTTCTCGTCAGCTTCGTTTATAATGATTGTTGTTGTGTATTATTCTTGCATTTCTATACGTGCAAACACATTTTGCACACGTGGAACATTACGGAACGGAAATATGTTGAATATGTAAGCTGTTTGGAAATGAACGTTTCCAGAAAAGGTAATGGGAAAAATGTATGTGGAACAAAATGGACCTTTTCGGTTATTCGACTTTTCCAGTTGGCTCTGTCAGTGGGGGGGTGGGCTGTTGGGTTTAACCTGCTGATGTGAATATACAAACTACCTAAAAACTTCTAAAGTTCAGGAATGCGTCTATATTATGGGTTCTATCCGATTATTGGTGTTTTTGTCAAGTAAATATGCTACCTATGTCCATTAAAATGTAAAGGCATTTCTGGTGAAAGGATTTTTTTTTCTTTGTCTGCAAAATATGTTTGGTTAGTTTTTTTTTTGTTTTGTTTTTTTGGGGGGGGGGGGTGCGTCGATATGTGATCTACAGCCTACAGTTAGTGAAACATTAAAGAACAATAACGGTGTAGTTCAGCGCTCTGAAGATGAAGCATGCCCCGCTTTGTGATTTAGTGGCCTACTTACGTGTTCGCCTGGAGAGCCATAAACCTTTGAGCCTCTTACACCCAAGTGTGAAACTTGCAACATGTATTTGAGTCCGAGGCTGCCAGAGCAGGGCCGGCCGGACGGCTGGTCAGCCCGGCCGGACTGTTGGTCAGCCCGGGCAGGCGGGCGGGGGGTGTCCGGCAGCGAGAGGCCGGGCTGATGGCGAGCTGAACAAATTGATGACCCGAGCAGGGGAGAGAAAGCTGACCTGTCCTCGCGCTGGCCTGCCAGACACATCAGACGCACACACACACACTTCAGCCAGACAAAGTGGGCAATGTCCTGCTGACCCTTTGAACTCGGCTTGTCCGCTGGATGACCGCTGGCTTTCACTGATTGTCTCGGGGCGGACGCGTGAAAAAGCCCGGCACGGACTGATCCCAGGTTCCGCCAAAGGTGGCTGGATGCGTCCTCAGCCAAGAGAAAAACCAGGGGAAAAAAACCAGATCTAGAGTATAGTAACTGCTCTGGTGTGAGCATTTCTACATGAGAATCTCTGGACTGATTAGCAAGTGGAGACTTTGTCTTTATTTTAAATAATCAATGATGAAATAACTCACTTTTCTCCAATCTCAGTTAGGCAGCAAACGTAACAAAGAGCAGATATAATGCACAATACATAAGTCAGCAATAGTTTGTGTCCTTCTCTGAAACAGAAATAATTTAGAAAGAAACGACAAAAAACTCCTTGCACCTTGGTTTTTTTTTCTTAAAAGAAAAACATATTCTAAAATGTCTTCCCTAAACATTCCACACGGGCTTTGCTTTGTGATATTTAGGCTCCCTGTTGAAGCTTTGTTGACGTGTAGCGTATTCCATATTTTGCTTGGACCTTTGTCTAACCTGCATGGCGGTTTTTAAGGGGACTTTACCGTAATAACCTGAGAGGAGGTGACTGGCTGTTTTCCTGTGACCCAAAGACGCAGTCAACTGCAAAACTGAAGACAGTATCTTAGAACTTTTGAATCACTTACAGTGAATAGTCTTATTCTACGTCCACTCCCATTTGACTCCCACAATTACCATCTGTGATATTCGGTTATTTTTAGCTCCTGGTTTGGCAGATAGAAGATGGACCGTCAGAAACTGAGCAGCATCTCACATGTAGGAGGCCTGGAATTAGGATTTAAGCTGTCCCGACGGCAGGGAATGCCTCGTGCTGTTGTTTTTTATTATTTCATTTTGTAGGGTGATTCTGCTTCTTTGGTAAAATCTCTACTTTCCTCCATATTTCCACATTATAGGCTTCATATCTGGCAGGAAAACAGCCGAGAGGAAAATATTCTTATGGTCACGTTTCTAACGTTGTTCTCTTTAACAACACCCAGATCTGACCTGTCTAACGGCAGATTATTTCAGCTCCATCGGCCGGAGCAGTGAGACTGACAGGAGGAACTGCTGAAGGAGAAATATTCGATCGACTAAAGGTTTTTATTTTTTATAAATGGGATTTTTAGTAGCAGCCTCTTTGGTAGGACTTCTGTTGTATTATGGAGTTATGACAATTTGAATGTTTGTGTTGCATATTCCGAAACTTTTAGATGTTGCTTTTTTCACCTTAAAAACCAATCGAGTCACTTTATTAAAAACTCCAGAATGCATTCCAGGAAGTTGAACCGCAGCTTACCGTGATTTGATAGTGTTTTCACCATGTATTCACAGGTAATCGCTGGGTAATTATATATGGATGAAAATCTCCAAACTCTCCTTGAGCAGCCGCGATGACATTTGAAAACTGGAGGAAAGCTCACTGAGAGCCAGAGATGTCGGCCTGTGCAAACGGTGCGCGGTCAGGAGTTCACAGGAGAGAAAATAAGACAATACGCCGTTTCACAGCTTAGTGCCAAATGTCTAAATGTCTCCCATCTCTTTTCTGGGGGAAAGACACCGTGATGGTGAGCGTTAGCTCCTCCGGCCTGTGTTCTGAAGCGGGCGGTTGGTTTATAATCAACTGGATGGCATTTAGTGCAATTTCACAGGCAGAATTTGAATCGTGAATCTGTCCTCTGTTCTCGATGGTGGGTCGGCGTTACACACTCTGAGTGCACGCGGGGGCACCGCGGCTGTAATGTATTCCGACCCGGGAATAAACAGCTCATAAATCAGCTCATTTCCATCCTCTGTGGACGTCAGAAATCAGGTTCAGCATTCCTGCTCTGCGGCTGGAGGGAGGCTACGAGGCCCGGGGAACGGCTGGAAGAAAAGGCAGGAAAACGGAGCATTTTCCCTTCGACTGGCCTAAACTTCAGCCGTTTTTAAAAGCTTTAGGATTGCATTTCATCACCGCTGTTACTGACGTTAAAGGATTAGTCAACGCTTTAAAATCACCTTCCTCTCCTTAATTATTTACATGTTAATTATTATTATTATTAATAATAATATTAGTAATTTTCGTCAAGAGGAGGAAAGATGTAAGAAAGACTGAAACTTCACTAAAAGGGGTCCATAACGGCTGTGCGAGGCGTTTTTTAAAAGCCTGCTTTCTTCCTTGTGTCAGTTAATGCAATAAATCCTGTTTACAGTAGGTGGCGCTGTGAACCCACCCCTGGCACCTCGGCAAACACAATGGAAAACCGTACGCGTGCGTGTGCGTGTGTGTGTGTGTGACAGGGAGAGAGAGAGAGACACAGAGAAAGTTCCTCCCTTTCTCATTAGAAAACCCCAGCGCATGAATTACCTCCAAAGTCATCGGTGAGAATTTACGACTGGTCAACAAAGGCACGTGACCACACGAGCACACTCATCCGCATCCAGCACGCGCGCACACTCGCCACCCCGCCCCCACGTTTGGACGGCGCACACAAAACTTCAACCGAAGTACAGTGCAACGCAACGCCATGATTCACTAATACATCATAAATCCCCGAAAGTGCCGCGTTACGGCGACCAGCACATCACGCGCCCCGACTCCCCAGCTCTCAGCGGCGTCTCTGCTCGACAGCCAAATGAGCTCTTACTTTGTAAACTCCTTCTCGGGGCGCTACCCGGACGGCCCCGGCTATAAACTGCTCCATTATGGAGCCAGCGGCGGCGCGATGAGCAGCGGGACGTACGGGGACGCTGCCTCTGCGCCCGCGCACCCCGAGACGGGCTCCTATGGACACGGCTACAACGGCATGGACCTGACCGTGGCCAGCCGGGGCGGGGGGGCCGGCGGAGGAGCCTTCGCGGCCGGGGACGGCCGGCGCTTCGGCGCGCTGACCGCTGAAAGGGGCTTCCGACCGCCGTCCAGCTGCTCCCTGGCGTCCGCGGCCAAACCCCTGCTGTCAGCCGGTGCTGGCGATCCCAAGCCGTGCGCGCAGAGGTCGCCCCCCCACCCGGAGAAGGCGGGGAGCGACGCCGCCAGGGCTCCACAGCTTTCCGGGGGCGCGCCGCCGTTCTTCGCCCGGGACAACTCCCCGCCGGAGGCCGAGGACCTGCTGCTGCTCACCGGAGACGCCACCCGCGGGGGCAGCCGGCCCCCCCCGTCCGGACGCTCACAGCCGGCCGACAGGCAGGAGGGCGGCCCGGCGGGAGCCCCCGCCGAGGCCCGGCCGCCGCAGATTTTCCCCTGGATGAGGAAGCTCCACATCAGCCACGGTACGTGCCTCTCCGGCTCTCAGCGGGTGCTTGTGCACGGGGCTTAACTGACGTGGAAGCTGTGACAGTTATGTTCCAGCACGGTGTGCACGCCGCCAAAGCTGCGTTCATGTGAATGCAAATAGATCCTCCAGAACACGGGTGA